GTGTTTTTGAGACAGGGTCTCTATGTAGTTGAAACTCACCTGGAACTCACTATGTAGACCAGGCTGGTCTCGAACTCGCAGCGATCCTCCTGCCTCAGCCTCCTGAGTGCTGGGATTACAGGCATGCGCTGCCACACCCGGCCATGATGCATTATATTAACATCAAAACAATTATTTTCTAAGATTCAGATTAAAACAGTTTGTAATGTGATGCCTTTGCAGTTGTGTGTAGAAGCAATTTTTTACATCTTATTGTACAGTTACACGTACATTTCTTTCTTTCCTTCTTTTTTTTTTCTGGTATTAGGGGTCAAACTCAGGACCTTGCACTTGTCAGGCAGGCGGCAGAACTACTGAGCCTGGCCTGGCATGTACATTTCTATAAATTTAAATTCTTATGATTTCAAGCCTATATTCTCTTGGGACACTTTACCCTTTCTATTTGGTTTTTTATTTTATAGGACCAAGTTTACAGCATGATACTTGTAGTCCTCTTCTGAGCTATTCAGTCACAGAGTCTTATACAGAATTCAACAGTGTCGAGGAAAATTTAAGTACCTTTTCATCACCTGAACTGTTCAGAGGATCAAATTATTTGGGTAAGAATATAATTTCAACCTTAATTTGCTTCATTATATAAATTGTTCTTTTGTCCACACATTCGTTTAACACCTCTCTCCTGTGACCACTACCACTGTGTTCCATGTATAGTCACATAGATCTGCAGAGCAATTTCCTACAGATCAGCGAAGGATGAAAAAAAAATGTCATTTAGCGCTTATATGTAATACATACCTAATTATTAATCAGTTTTGTATGTAATGAATGTAAACCTCTTGAGCTATGGGTTGTCATTTATTTCATACACTTCTCTTAGTTTTCAGCATATAACTTAAATATTAACTGGCCACATCTACAGATTAATACTTTACCATTCGAATAGTTATTGGTGATGGCAAACTGCATACTTTACAGCTTTCTTCAGTGACATAAAATGGATTCTTCATTTCTTTTTATTTTTTAAAAAAATAAACCCAAATGGTGGGGGGAGAACCCATAAGGATAAAGTAAATATGAAAGAAGAAAGCATAAAGTTTGGAAAGCTACAGATCAGATGGTTTGATAGAGCAGAAAGCTCAATCTTAAATCAGTAATGTGAATATTATACAAATAAGCCAGTTTACACCAAACTGTCCCAGAAAATCTTACAATTTGGCTGCATCAATTCCTTCTAAAAAGGTATGTTGAAAACATGGCAGGTGTGATGACTGCTTCTTTCCTACTCAAAGGGAGCCTGTAAACTTATTCTTTGGGATGTTTTGAAAAGCACTGTGAACTGGAAGATGCTAGACCCTATTAATAGCAGGGATATGGTGAGATTTTGAAATTTTGGTCCTAATTATTCGTTCTTCTATAGTAATTTTTTAATCTTCGGCTTTGAGGGTGACAAGGTAATTTACTTTGGGCAATAGGATACCAGTGAACAAAAGACAAGCTTTGAAATGTACTTACATGGATGAATTATCCTCTTATGCCATCACTATAGGAAAAATATATCTTAATTAGCTTCTCCTCCTCTTGAGAGACCCCAGAATGAGAGGTACAAAAGAGATCCACCCCAGGCAACCTGCAGACCGCACAGAGCTACTCCCAATGTACTGCAGACCTATATCCTGAAGCAGAGCTTCCTGAGCCAACTGATAGATATGGAACAAGAAATGCTTTTTGTTTTCTGCCACTGAGATTTGAGGGTTGCTTATAGCAAAAGCTGACTGTTCCAGATATGTATTGAGCATGGAGGAAAAGGAATTAAGTGAAAGTACAAATCCTAATTGCGGGGACTGCTCCTCTTCCCACCCTAAACCAGCACCTCATTTCTCTGCTCAGTTTCCGGAATATTGGCACCCAAACATGAACCTGCTAGACAGAAGAATGGAAGATTATTTTCTGAGGAACTAAAGCAGTCCAAAATAAAATATCTAAAGATACTGACCTTCATAGTCCTTCAATGAATCTGCCCAGGCAGAACACTACAATGAAGCCAACTACGTCACAAGGCCTGTGTAGGCCATAGGGATTACACTTATCCTTTTAGGTCTCCCTTTTAAATATGTCAGATATCTAAGATCACCAGAATGTGATTCTTTAATGTTAGAAAATCCTCTAATATTAAAAATAGAAACCAAAACCAAATGTAATATGGGAATGACATCAGCAAGATGTCAGCATAGGAAGCCCTGGACTTTTTTTCTTCTCATGAATACCCTGATTCAATAGCACTTCATGATTTAATTTTCTCTATGAGAAATCCATAAACTAATGGTGGGGCTCCTACATCCTAGCAAAGCGTAAAACTAGCCATCTTGAAGCCAGTAGGAAAGTTTGAGATATCATATTACTATGTAACACCTGCCCCTGGCATAGCATCATGTAATTGGTAGGAATCTACCAGGTCCCATGTGTTTTCCTTAAGGGTTGTGTGGAAGAAAAGACTGAATCATATACCCAGTGTTCTGAATTTTCTGAGAGATGCCTGAGGGACTGACTATTTCTGAGGAGAAAAGCAACTTAGTCCAGCATGTAGGTATTTGCCATAGCCCTTCTACTCAACTCACTACAAAGTGAGTAGGCAAAAACTCCAGATCTCACGTTAACCCTGGAGGGGAAGAGTTGGACTGTGTGTCCAGTATTCTTTTCTACATGTTTCCTGTGGAAATAGTTGCTGTCTTACCTGACTCAGAGCTCTAACATGACCCAATATACTGTATATGATTGAGGACTGCTAAGAACAAAGACATTGGCAAGTTAGGCATGGTTGTACACACATATGCTGTTACTTCTTTGAATATACATAATATATAGAAAAATATATACATGTAATATATATGTGCTTAGCACAGAATTTAATTCCTGAACAATCTCTGTCAGAGCTGTTTGGTGGGGGTCTCTTCTCATATAAAACAAGCCCTTGAGTCTAGGATAGTTTCTTTGCTTTTCTAATGTACAGATGCTAGCACTGAAATGCAAAAAATATGAAGATAGAGAAACATGTTCTAAGGAAAAGAACAAGATAAAAGTGCTTAGCAACCAACCCTAATGAAATGGAAATAGAGGAATTATTTGGCAGCTATTCCAGAATAATTATCACAAAAATCCTCAATGTTGTGAGAACAATTCATGAACAAAGTGAAAATTTCAACAAAGAAAATTTTAATAGAAAACAAATCTTGGAGAAATAGAAATTTTTAATAGAAATCAGAAATTTTAGAGCTAAAATGAAATAAATTTAGCAGAGAGGTTCAACATGGACTGGATTAAGAATAAAAAATTACTGTGTTCAAAAAAAAGAATAAAAAATCAGCAAACTCAGTCAGGCGTGGTGGTGCACGCCTGTAATCCTAGCACTCTGGAGGCTGAGGCAGGAGAGTCACTGTGAGTTCGAGACCAGCCTGGGCTCCATAGTTCCAGTTCGGTCTCAACTACATAGTGAGACCCTGTCTCAAAAGCAAACAAACAAACAAACAAACATCAGCAAACTCAAAGACAGGTCGTTTAAAATCATGTAGTCAGGAAGACCAGGGATTTGACTCTGGTTTTGCCGCCTGCCTCTCAAGCACAAGGGCTGGAGTTTGATCTCCCGTACCCTCCCCTCAAATCATAGTTAGGGTTGGGGATTTAGCTCAGTGGTGCCGCTGCCTGCCTTGCAAGTGCAAACACCCGAGTTCGATTTTAATCCCTGGTACAAAAAATAATAATAAAATCATGTCAGAGATACAACATGAAAAAATAAAAATAATTAACAGCTTAAGAGGACAATGGGACATCATCAAGCAGACCAATATGTGCATTACTGGAATCCTGAAATCGAAGAGGAGAAGGGACCAGAAAGCTTATTCAAAGAAGTAATTGCTAAAAATATCCAAGTTGGGGAAATGAAAGGAGTATCCAAATACTGTCTAGGAATCCCAAATAATACAAATAAGCCACACTGAGATACACTATATCCAAATGAGGAGTGAATTTTGAAAGCAGCAAGAGAAGTAATTTGACATGTACAAGGAAACTTCTATAAAAGCAGCATTGGAATTTTCCCCAGAAACCTTCATACTAGAAGGGAATGAGGCAAAGTATTCAGCTTGCTGAAAGGAACATTTTCACCCAAGAGTACTGTACTTTGCCAAACTGTCTTTCAAAAATGAAGGAAGAGATAAGGACTTCCCTGGAAAAAAGCTGAGGGGATTTATCACAAGAGCTACCTTATAAGAAATGCTGAAGTGCTTCAAGTTGAAGCTCAAGGACACTAAACATAAACATACAAACATGTACAAGTATAAAACTCACTTGTAAAGGTAAATTATAGGCAAATACAGAACACTAATAGTGGTGTGAAAGTCACTTTTAATTCTAATATAAAGGTTTAAAATATTTAAAATTACTGTAAAATATGGATATACAATATAAAATATGTAAATTGTGCAATCAGTAACAAAATTAAATGAGGTAGTAAAATTAATTTTTCTGTTATCAGCTTAAAATAGACTATAACTACATGAAGATTTATGTAAACCTCATTGTCTAAGAAAATACATACAGAATATACACAAACAGAAGAGAAATATCAAAACAGTATTCCCCAAGTCAGTGAAATACAAATAAATACAGCAATAGATGAGTGACAAAAGAGCTACGAAATAGACTTTAAAAATTCACAAGAGATACTGAAGGTATCTTATAAGGTGTAGTGATAAAGGGTCAGAATAATGATATGATATTTGGTCAATTTACCAGGAAGATAGAACAATGGTATGTATGCACCCAGCATCAGGGCACCTAAATATATTAAGTAAAAATGAACAAAACTGGAGGGAGAAGTACATAACAATACAATAATGTTGTGAGCCTTCAGTGCTCACTTTCAACAGTGGATAGAACATACAATCATTGAAATGCTGTGTTAACTGTCATTCTGTCATCAAAACAATATGGCACAGACATACACTGATAGAACAGAATAGAAAGCCTAGTAATAATACCTTGCATATATGATCAACAGATCTTTGACTGAATGCTAAGATGGCACAATGAGCAAAAGCTAACCTTTTCCACAAATGCTGCTGTTAGACCTAGATATCTGTATGCAAAAGAATGAAATTGGAGCTTTATACCATATACAAGAATCAAGTGAAGGTGAATTAAAGGCAGAACTATCAGGCCTGGCATTGTAAAACTCCTAAAATAAGATAGTGGAAAAGTGACATTTTTCTTAGAAATGATTTTTTGGATGTGACACCAAAAATATAGGTAAGAAAAAATCAACAGATAATACTGTATAAAACTAAAAAGCATCTTTCACAGTACATGAATCAACAGTAAAAATGACAAACTGCAGAATTAGAGGAAATATCTACAGTTTATCAGATAAAGTAATCAAAATGTGTGAGAAACTCCTACAACTCAACAGTAAAGCAAAACAAAACAATAACCTGATAAAAATGGGCAAAGAACTTTACTTCTCCAAAGACAGAAATGGCGAACAGGTATGTAAAAAACTGCTCAGCATTGCTAATCATCAGGAACTTGCAAATCTAAATGGCAGTGAGCGAACACCTCACACATGTTAAAATAAATGGTCACTATCACAAAACAATAGAAATATGACAATATGACAGCAAGCATGTGGATAAACTATTACTCTTGCTGAGTGTTGGCAAGAATGTAAATTGTGCAGCAGCTATGAAAAACAAAGTTTTCTAAAAAGTAAAAACAAAATAACTATATGATTGAGCAACCCCCTTATTTATTCGAAATAAAGTCAGAGCCTCAAAAAAAACGGCACTTCTATGTTCATTGCAGTGTTATCCACAATGGCCAAGATAAGAAGACAAGCTGAAGGCATGTGAACTGATGAGTACATAAAAGAAGTGGGATATAAACGTAAATGGAATTTTATTCAGCTTGAAAAAAGAAATCTTGCCATTTGTGACAACATGGATGAACCTTAAAGACATTATGCTAAGTGGAATAATATAGTTACAGAAGGACAAATACTGTATAATTCCACTTATTTGAATTAGCTAAAGTTGTCAAAATCAGGCTGGGATTTAGCTCAGTGGTTTCCGCTGCCTGCCTCGCAAGTGCAAGGACCCAAGTTCACTCCCTGGCACCAAAAATAAATAAAGTTGTCAAAATCATAGAAGTAGAAAATGAAATGGTGGTTGACAGGAGGTGGTGGGAAGGGAAAATTTGAGTTGTGTCTTAGTTACTGAGGACCCTTCACTTATGAGCTCTGTCGGTCCCCAGGGCTGTTTGTAAACTGAAGTTGGTTGTGATTCAGTGCGGCTGAGATCTGGATGTTTACCTGGGTACATTCTATAGATAACAAGAGGCAGATGAATCTCCCATTGACCTAATTAGACCAAGATGTTTGTGTATCAGGGTCAACTGTATTCTCCCTATGCCGAGACTCAACACCCACAGCTTAAGGAAGGAGAAGTTTATTTTGTTTCATATTTTCAGTCCATAGACAGCTAGCTTCAAACCAGAAACAGCATGGCAGAGAGCCCATCAGAGGAAGGCTGCTCACGTGGGAGCCAGGAAGCAGCGGAGGGAAGGATGGGGGTGGGGAATACGTCCTTCTGGGTCACGCCTAGTGACGCACCTCCAACCAGGAGGTCCCCTTCCAAAAGCCCAGCTTCTGAACATATGTGCCATTTTAGGACATTCCAGGTATAAATCATAGCAATTTGCTATTCGGCAGTTACTGAGTTTCAGTTATGTGAGATATGCAAATTTTAGAGATCTGCTATTTAACACTGTACCTGTAGTAAATAATAATGTATTGTTAACAATTTTCTTAAAAGGTAGATAGTATTTGCTCTAACCACAGTAAAATCTATTTTAAAAATTAAGGAGTCAAGCAAAAATAGAACTGATAATGGTACAGGAAAAAAACTTTTTTACTGAGGACTGTTTTATCTTTTGCGTACCAAGTTTATTAGTACTTTTTAGGTATACTGTACAGTTACATTCATCATTGAGATCTTGTACCTTTACATGATGTATCTTGGCTCTTAGTTTTTCCTCATACCTTTGCCCTCCCTTCAACCCCTCCACCCTTCCCTATTTACAAATACTTTGTTTTCATTTTGAGGATGCATATATGTATGTGTGTGTGTATATATATATATAAAGACTGCCCTGGAACTCACTATGTAGCCCAGGCTGGTCTCGAACTCACAGTGATCCTCTTGCCTCAGCCTCCAGAGTGCTGGGATTACAGGTGTGCACCAAGGAAAATATTTTTTAAAGTCTTCATTGAAATAAGAAAATATGTAGTGTATTAATTAGGAATAGGATGCTACAAACCAGGGAATATTCCAATAATTAAATACAATAGCAGAATGGAAAACTGAGTGAAAGGATTGGGAAAGTTGAAATTTCCCAAAAAAAAAGAATACAAAATTTCCCAACCATGAATATAACTGTACTGTATCCCTAAAATGTACCAATAAACTCAATTAAAGCTGAAAAAAAAGAATACAAAATTAAAAAGAGGAAAAATAATGAAAATATAAATTTGGAAGAGAAAAATATGTTGAAAGGAATAGTATATGCAGTCTAGCGTCAGATAATAGGAGTTCAGGGAAAGTTAATTTAAAAAGAGAAAAAAATATCAAAGAAACAATTCAAGAGCGTGGAGCTACAGAACTTGTATTTCTGGGCTAAAACAACCACAGTGTACATAGTGCACAATATGAAACAAAGTACAATATTATGAAACTTCAGAATGCCAAAGGAGTGGGGTAAAACAGAATGACTTATACAACTTGGTAGAGTTTGAGATTAAATACATAGAAAACTAAACCAAAAGAGGAAGAAAAGACTTCAGGAAGAACAAAAGATGGCCATGATATATCATAAGTATAAATAACATTTTTATCATATTTTATGTGCACTGAATAGTGATCCAGCTAAATATATGATATAACAGTGGGAGTAGTGGGAGAGGTGGGGATAAGGAGGTATAAGAAAGCATAATGGAGAGTCAGTAGAAAGCTTAAAACTGTTATCAACTAGCAGTAGTATAAGTGTGTCACTTAGTGATGTGATCCTCGATGGGATATGGAAGTATGACACAACATGAAAGATGAGCTTCTCTAGTTACATATATCCTGCCTGTCCCTTAGATCAGTATCAGTCATTATGGGGGCTGGGAACTTAGCTCAGTGGTGCTCCTGCCTGCCTTGCAAGTGCAGGGTCCCGAGTTTAATCCCTAGCGCGCGCGATCTTTACACTGAGCTGAGCTGTATCCCCAGAATTTTTTATTTTTTATTTTGAAGCAGGATCTGGCTAAGTTGCCCAGGCTAAGATCAAACTTTGGGTCCTCCTGACTCAACTTCCCAGAGTGCTAGGATTATCGTCATATACCACACTGCCCAGTAGATCAGTAATCTTAATGAAGCAAAAATTCAGGAAGGAAGAAAAAGACAAAGAACTAGAACAGACTACAGATTATTTGTTATCTTGGTGCCGTCATATCTTGTCTTTTTGTTCTGTTGCAGCCAAAATTTTCAATTATCATAGTTTGGTATGGGCTAGGCCACCAATTAAAGAAGGGAAAGGTGCCGGGCATGGTGGTGCACATCTGTAATCCCAGCCCTCAAAAGGCTGAGGCAGGAGGATCATTGCAAGTTCGAGACCAGCCTGGGCTACACACTGACTTCCAGAGCAGTCTGAATTACACAGTTAGACCCTGTCTCAAAAAAACAAAACAAAACAAAAAAAAGGAAAAGAAGGGAAAGGTAATCTGCTGTTTAAAATCTTTAATATTTCTTTTGCTCCTGCTCTTTTAGATTGGGAGTGTCCCAAATTGACAGAATATGTGCAGTGCAAAAATTCTACTCTTCTGGACACCAGTAAAGCAGTGGCAGTAGAGAAGGCACCAGAGTTTTCAAACCTCTCTGCAATTTTGGGTGAGTTTTTAACATTCATTTTTCTCATAGCATGGGAGAAAAATCTCTCACCTGTGTTGAAAAAACAAAGTATTTTTTCTTTTGCATGATCTCTGTGTTTTTATCAACTGGGATTGCCTTTGGCTACAATTATTATCTGATAGTAGTTCAAGTACATATGGATTACCTTTTTATGAGTTTTAATTTTGAACTAATTTCAAATTTATAGAAAAATTACAAAAGTGCTACAGAGGTTTCCCCTATATCCAGCTTTCCCTAATATTATCTTACATAATCTAAGTACAGTGATCAGAACGAAGATATTAATATTGGTAGTTAAATTGGTAATAAGAATAGAAAGTGAACCCAAGAAAGCTTCAAGCCACCCACCTCTCTACTGTCATGCCCTGGGAGAAGCCACATCTGCCACAGGCAAGGCAAGACCCAGCATCCACCTACTGACATCAAGGCTGGCAAAGGGCGGTGTGGGCAGCCTCACATCAACAGCATCTGCCTATGGGGATGAGGAGTCATCACAAGGAAGGTTTGGGGATAATAAAATGGTTCAATATAAAAAAATGGATATGGCTTCATCAACAGGAATGACACACCAAGGAAAATGTGTTTGTACACCAGACTGCCGCAAAGAATTACCCCAGGAAGTACCTTCGCCGTGTAGGGGAATGAATACGTATCAAGGTTGTACACCATGATATTGATATAATATCAGTGCTTAAACTTCTCGGGAGATCTCTACAGCTGTCTCTTTTGGCTATCTCCAGTCCAGTCACTGTGGTAGAGTAACCCCAGAAACCCAGAAGGGTGGTGGTTCTGTTACTTCTGATTCCCACAATCAATCCCTTCTCAGAATGGCTCCTCATCACGTCATTCCCAACTGTGACAGGTATGGAATGGATTTCTTCCCAAACACTGCTCTGCCATGGGAAGGAGTCCCCACACTGTATTTGCAGCTTAACAGTAACTGGGCTTTTCTTGAAGTTAGCATTGCCAGTCCATTATCACTGGTGCTCCTGGCTGTCTCTGGGCTTACCTTGTGATTATGGAGACAGGTCTCTCTCCCTCCTGTGTGGGGTTAGTGCTCTGACTGCTTCATTCTTTTCTCTGTGTTGTCTTCACTTCCTTTGTGGTTTATGGTTTTCTTCTATGCTTTTTCTTTTCTTCTTCCTTTTTTTTTTGATAGTGGGGATTGAACTCAGGACCTAACATGTGCCAACCAGGCGCTATGCCACTGAGCTACATCCTCGGCCCTGCTCTTTCTTAATTTCCAGAGGCATGCTTTTCTTTCTCTTCACTACATTGTTGTTTTCTAGGTATCTCAACTTCAGGTCCTGGAGAGGTTACGGTTCCCTTCCCACTTTTCCTTTATCATATTTCCGTCTTTTGTCACTTTCTGAATCTTTCTAAAACAGTTCTGGAAGTCCATTGTCATGTCTTTACAAGGTATAGTAAAAAATATAGTGATTGCTGCTGCCTACTGCCATCCACTAGAAAAGGAGGCTGGTAAAAACATTTCATCGTTTTCAGTATTCTAATGCACAGGATCTGACACAGCAACTTTTTACTTTTTCTCAAAGTCAAAATTACTGTGAAAGGTGTATGTTTTGAATCAGTTCAGGACATCAGGGCATCCACAATAGTACTACATACAGCTAAAGATGCTCATGAAAAGAAGATTTCCAGAATTGCTCCATAAAGTGGCAAGCATGATGGAATAAGTGTGTTCAAAATGAGGGAGAATATTTTGAATGGGATGAATGGTAATATGTCTTTTACTATAAGAAATTTAAATTTATATTTAAAATTTTAATTTCTCCATATTCAAGTTAACATTTGTCACTGTTTCTTTTGATTATAGCCATCCACATCATGGATGAGAAGTGATACCTCGCAGTTTTGATTTGCATTTCCGTAATGGTTGATGACATTGACCATCTTTTCATGTTCTTACCGTTCATTTGTTTATCTTCTATGTTGAAATGTTTGTTCAGATCCTTTGGACATTTTAAAATTGGGTTATTTGTCTCTTAGGAGTTCTTTATGTATTCTAGGTATAAGTCCTTATATCGGTCGTCTGTCCAACTGCTGGACACCCACACATGAGGGGAAGAGAGGTTTAATGTGGCTCAGTGTTTCACTTGTGTCAGTCTGTGGTGAGCTAACTCCAAGAGAGGAACTCCATGGTAGGATGGTATGGGAGCAGTTACTCATCTCATGGTAGTTAATAAGCAGGGTGCAGGGAAATGCCATAGAGATATATTGTCCACCAGATGCCCCGCGTGACTCACCTCCAACTGGACCCTACCTTATGCAGCTATGAACACCAGTCAGTTAATCCCGTGATAAGTTTAGCTGATGATCTATTCACCCCTCCAGGTGACTTCTAATCCATCCCAGTTGACGAGATTAACTGGCTCAGGCAACTTATCAGACATGTGTTCTGTAAATACTTTCTCTCATTCTATGGTTGTCTTTTTGTCATCTTGATGGTGTCTCCTTTAACTTTTTTTCAACTTGTATAAATTTTCAGTAATTTCCTTTAAATTCTTTGAGGATTCAGTTATTTAAAAAATTTCATAATATGCTATACAGTGCTTCTGAAAATCTTTCATGAGGCTTTTATTGCCTGAAAATAATAATTTATTACAAGAGAATACCAGAAAAACATTGTTAAAAAGAAATCTCCCTGAAAGTTCATCTGAAGGTAAGAAAATACTAGTTGGATAGCCTTTGTTTAAAGGGAATATGAAGGAATCAATTAACCAATGATAGGAGTTCAGAAAATTCTCTTTTCACATTTGGTTTTCAACTCAATTGTCTTACTGAGAAATCCATTGTTTTGCTTAGCAATCTTGTTTCAGTAGTCAAAGACTGAGCTTTGATCTTTTCATATTACTCTTGTTTATTGTTTCTTTGACACAGGGTCTCACTATGTAGTTGAGAGTGACCTGGAACTCACTATGTAGCCCAGGCTGGTCTCAAACTTGCAGCGATCCTCCTGCCTCAGCCTCCCAAGTGCTGGGATTACAGGGGTGCGCCACCACACCCGGTTCATATTACTCTTACAACAGCCAATCCTTTGCTACACTAGATAGAATGCAGGGCTGTCTCATTTGTGGAGATGCAAAAGAATAACATACTCATTTCAAATAATATTATATCTCCTATATGAAACCCTTACTACAGAAATCCTGGAAAACAGGATGCTACCCCCTTTACATAAATAAGGTAGCCTAGACTCAAGACAGGTTAAATAGCTATCCCAGTACCACTCAAATGTGAGTAACAAGACAAAGTTTAAACACAGTGCTGTCAGACTCCTGCACACACTGTTTCTCTTCTTTTTAAGCTTTATTCATAATCAAAACATGTTAAATATAAATTCTCACAATATTTAACCCTGCCATTAATCTAGTGGGCTGAAATATGTCCAGAAGTAGCATATTGTTAATGTTCTGTTATCCATGGGTTCTGAAATTAGGCCAATAATGGCATTCAAGGTGGTCCTATTTCATGTATAGTATTTGTCTCTCTTTCTGTCTCCATCTCTGTTTTTTAGTACGTGTTTGTAGTACAAAATGTTTACATTCATCTTTGGGAGTAGATACATGTACTCAGCATATCTTAATTCTTTTTATTACCCTTACTTTCCCCATTCTCTAGGTCCCCTCCCCCACTTATGCTTTTTTTACTTCATCTTTATGACACACATGATTCCATTCATAGTGATTAATTGGGGCATGTACATGACAAAATCCTTTCAGTCCCATTACCATCCCACCCTTGCCTCGCTTTGGGACTTTTAGTTCCTTCCCATATGCGAAAGATCTATCTGCCTGTTTCCTATTGTCATTTCTCTATTTTGCTCTTTAGTTTATTTGTACTTGGGCTTTCTCATGAGAGAAACCATATTTTATTTAAGTTTGTGTGTCTGGTTTATTTCATTTAACATTGTTTTCAAGATGCACCCATTTTCCTAAAAATGCCTGAAATTATCATCTTTATAAACACTATGCCTCTAACTGATAAATGTATAAATATTTTGCTTTTTATTATTAAACAATGTATTCCTATAGATTTAGAATATTTTTTCTAACCAATTGCATTTTCTGCAAAATTATTAATTGCATATGACTGTCTTTAAGTATTATTTGAAGATACTTGAAAGTTACTGAAAAAATAAAAATACCCCTAATTTGTTTGTTTTATGGAGTAAGGACATGAGCTTGATGAATTATTTCTCCATAACCAAAGTGTATTTCAAATTCATAATCAAGTAACAAAGAAAATAATTATTTTCATGATTATACATTTCTTTATTTTTGCTACAATATAGCATGTATGAACAAAATAAGCACTCCAGGAACTGAATGCTTTTTACCTTAGTTTTATTTAAGAAATAAAGATTTCTATAATTAGAAGTTTAACTATTCCTAAAACACCCATCATGTATTCATTAAATAAACACTTACAGAATATGTGTTTAAACTAGGCATTGTTACATAAACCAGTGGAAAGTGCCGTACTTCCCCTGACCTTGAAGGCGTCAAAAATAGGGAAAGAAAATAATTAAACACATATATTGTGGTTGTGTGTGATTGAAAAATAATGTGATCAGCAAAGCATTTTGCATTATAGGCACTCTGTTAGTTTATTATTAGAATAAATTTAGCAAGACATTTACACCCTTATCCTCAGTTATATGTCAGGTTGCTATTTTCTTCCTTTTCTACACAAGTTTTATAGCATTTATTTGGAAGTACACTTGAAGAGTTGCTGGTTTTACTCATGATGGTTGTAAATGTTTCTGTGAAATAAAAATATGTATTTAGTTGCACAACCATCGTTTGAAGAAGTTGTAGTGCACATTTACTAAATGTGAGGCTTTATATTAGGAAATGTGAGAATAAAAATCATCATGATCATTTTTATTCTTAGAAAAATTACTCTAGTGATGAAAACTAAACTTGTAAAAGTACAGATCTTTGAAAGAAGTTCCTTCT